AGAAACATTTACATCATGTTGACCCACTGAATTGCTGATAGGTGTATATCTAAAAGAAAGGTCCTCCTTGTGTTGAGTCAGTTTCTTTGCAAAAGTTGTGATCAGTCTCAGCCTGTGTTATTCTCTGAGCTTCATGGACATATCACCTTTTGCCATCTGAGCCTTCTTTCTTTGTAGGGGTTTATTGGTCAGTGTGTGGCACTCAGCAAAGCAATGTTATGCCTTTTGCTTTTTAGAAGTTGCAGGTATTTCTGTAGCTATAACCCTTTATTATTTACAGTGTTTATTTATGGTGTGTAGAGTACCAGTCTCCCACTGTTCCCATCCCCCTGCTCCATTAGTTCACTAGCATTTGGTAGGAGTTTTCTGTAGGACAACTGTTATGTTAGAAGTCTAGAAAATACCTTCTGAAAAGGAATTGCATAATTTTAAGCTTTTCAGCATTAAAAAAGAAAAAATAAAGGGAATTTAGTGTTACAGCAGTTGAAGAAATCCATTAATGAAAGACCAGAATGCACTTCTATGCTCAGTGATGGTTTTAATATTCTCTAGCTTCTGTGCTTGTTGTGCACCAGATGATAGTTAGCCAGGGTAAAGAATTTTCCTTCTTCAGATCATTATACCGAGTTTATTTGGATGATTACCCACTCCAAAGTCATATGAGATCCACTTCAAGAACTAGCATTTAGTTGTCAGCAGCATTTGGACGGGTGAGACCCACTTTAGGTCTTCAGATAGTGGCAGTGTTATGATGAAGGGTCAAGTCTGAAACTTTGCTGGCCAAATGTTATGATGGCTGAAGAATTTTCTTTTGCTTGAATCTCCTTTTATTCAAAAACAACTCCCCCCCCCCCCCCCCCCAAAATACAATACAAGGAAAGCAGCTAAAATGATGCTCTTTACCTTTTGCCCTCCAGAACAGTACAAGAACATTGGTGAGTAAGGAAATGGAAACACTGCTTTGTGAAAGGCTGAAAAGACCCACAAAAAAAGTGGGAAAGTAATCTTAGCATCTTTCCTTTTTTTCACTGTGATCCAGCTCTTTTTTCCCTCAGGAGTTAAACTTTCGAGTAATACAAGTTGTTAGACTTGGTGTATTTTGGGACTGTGTGTCCCATTTAGTATGCTGTGATCCTGACTGCGACAGCATGTTGACAGTTGCAGTGGAGTAAGATATTTCAGTGCATGTTGAGCATGGTAGAGACAGGCAAGATATTGAAAAAGCTGAATAGTGAAAAGTTTCGTACACTGACATGATTATGTTGCTGTACTGAAGAATGCATCTTTCTGCAAGTAAGTGATGCCTATACCCTTCAATAAAATGTTTAGCATTTGGAAACACAGACTGTTTGCTTTAGCCAGTGGAAAAACTGAACTTCTGCTGGACTTCCACTTCTCGAGATAGGCATATGTCAGTGGATTTCAAATTGGTAGAATGTTGCTATAATCTTGGACATTAGTATGAGTGTTTTATAAATGCAGTAAAGAAAATAAATCCTTCCTGTTTGTGAAAGGAAAAAAAAAATCATTTAAAATCATTCCATAGCGAAAACATTCTGGTGTTGACAAAACTGCTGACGTACCATTTATTCACAGTCAGCTGAGTACTAGATCCTGTATGGCACCAAATACTGCACTTGGTTGGTATGATGCTTACATGAATATGTGTGGAAAGCAATCCTCAGTTGAATACTGTAGAAGAAACCATGCAATTATTGTAGTACTGTTGTTCTTTATGTGTAACTTAATGGAGAGTTAATGTTTTTTGGTATACCAAATATGCATAGTCCAAAACCAATATGTTGTTTCAATGCAGCTGACAAAAGGCAGTTGATATTTGTTGCTCCTGCAGAATTCACTTAACTTCATCTGTGTGGTATGGATATCTGCTAAATCTGAAACTTCTGTTAGTTTACTGGCTGTATTGTATGGCCTTTTTTTACCTGTTAGCTGAAGTTGGAGACTATATGTGATACTATTGGAAAGACTGGAACTAAACATTCTTGGCTAGCTAATGATTTTGTAGTTTTCCTAAGTGGCGATATCAAATGAGACCCAATGAATAAATAACTTTGTTTCTCCACATATTAATATACAGTGTATTTTCTCTTTCCAAACAACTAACTCATTACAAAGTTAACATTTCTAGATAGTTTAGTTTAGTAAAAACTTCCAGTGCTAATGTCTTTATGAACAGTTGAAGAGATACTTTCTTATTCTTGCAAACAGTATCTTTTGAAAGGAAGGAAAGAGAGGTATCATTTTCACTTGGAATGTTATCAGAGAAGTCTTTGTAGCCATAGTGGTCATTACCATAGAAACACACTCATGTGATTTCTATTCCTGAAATTGATTCAACTCAAAATACATCTTCAGGTTTTTAAACTGCACTGAAAATGTGTTTTGTACTCATTGGAGTGATTGCTTGATTACCTGCACTCAGTGATACCAAACATGCTTTCTTTTCAGTGCAGAGCAATACTAAAACAATTTTTCTTAATGCCTTTGTGGAATATTTTCATAAACCTATCTTTCTTTGATTTCATTACATAGATCAATTTGTATTTCTTTATGCCTTAGCCTTCTGTTGCTTTGTTGCAATTTTGTAGACCTGAAAGAAGTTTTCAGCCATTTGCTCACCTTGTTTAAAGAACAGTTTTGATCTGCAGTTCTATTATGTTTTTCCCTGTAAAAGGCTGAGTATTATACTCATACCTTGCTCTGTGATTTTTATTATTTGCTTAGACTTCGGTTCTAAGCATACATTGTTTTGGGTTTGGTGTTTCTCTTTGTTTCATTGTTGTGGTTTTAGGGGTGGATGGGAGTGGAGTGGAGAGAGTTGTAATTTCTTGGGGGGGCTGGTTTTGTTTGTTTTGGGGGGTTGTTTTGTATTTTTTCCTGTTTCATACTGGTTTTGTTGCAGTGGAGCCTGAAATCTGAAAGACAAATGCTTTTAAGCGAATTTGATCAAGTTAAGTAGAACAGTAGTGTTGTATGAAGATACATCTACAGCTTTGTATGGGAGTGGAGTGGAGAGAGTTGTAATTTCTTGGGGGGGCTGGTTTTGTTTGTTTTGGGGGGTTGTTTTGTATTTTTTCCTGTTTCATACTGGTTTTGTTGCAGTGGAGCCTGAAATCTGAAAGACAAATGCTTTTAAGCGAATTTGATCAAGTTAAGTAGAACAGTAGTGTTGTATGAAGATACATCTACAGCTTTGTGTATTGCTAACAGTATTTATTCC